TCAATTGTAACATACGGAAAAATATTCGTGAAACTTCAAGTCGTGTTATCGACGTTAGATATTATGTATATTCATTATATATATATATATATATATATATATATATATATATATATATATATATGTATGTATTTTAGTTTATTAATCCTAGAGATTGTTTCCTTTTAAATGTTATTTTTAGTGGATACTCATATTTGGGTAGACGTTCTGTTAATTTATTAAACAGTATATTTATTTGTTTTCATCTACCGGTCTGAATATTAAATGTTATTTTAGTGGGTACATGTATTCGAGTTGCTATTTCTGTTTTTGTTACTTTCTTCTTTCCTTTCTTAAACAGTGAAATAATTAATCACCGGCCTAGATCCTTGGGCCGGGCAGTGTGTACTTGGACTCAGTTAAACTTGGACGAACAATAATTAAGCAGTACTAAAAGTAAGAACTAGATGAAATATCCGTGAGAAGAGTCTCTATCTGTCGATCAAATAAAGCGTTCAGTTTAGAATTCCCTGTAGTTTATCAAGACGATGAAGGCCGAAGACCACAACGGCCGAAACGTTATGATAACAACAGCAAAGACGAGGAAAAAACTTAGTATTAATATAATTGCCTATTTGATATTAAGTAGGGATAACATTTTCTTGATGCAAAGTAATAAACTGACCCTCTTACATATTAATATAATTAATAAAATATTTCTAAAGATTCATATGTGTGTACCTAATATTAGTAAGCGTTTAACAAAATATATTAAGCTTCTTGCGTCTTTTCTATAAATAAAGAAGAATCTGCAATGTTATTGGTCTTGAGTTGGCATCTCGGCCTCAGTCACTTTGCAACCGATGTAACGTGGTTTCCCGGTGACTTTTCTATAAATACTTTCCTGGTAATTATGCCGATGAAGTTTCCGCTTTGGTAGCTAGACTTTATAAATTTAAGTGCAGTACCAGATTGGCGGCGAGGTCCCATCATTTTATAGTTAAAATGGCTGGATGTAACCGTAAGTTCTATGCTAAGAGTTTCTTCTCTCGTACTTCTCGCTTGTGGAACTATCTTCCAGCTTCTTCCTTTCCAGTCAATATTGATTTTCAAAACAGCTAAACATTTGCTTCTGCTGAAAATTGAATTTGTATTAATCTTTATTAATCTTTATTATAACAAATTTTATAATACACACAAATATATATATATAATAAAAATATAGTTTTAATGTAAGCTTGAGTCAGGCAGTCATAAAGTCTAAAAATAATATTTAAAGAAATACAAACTCTTTGTAAGGAAGTGGAGTGCAGTTAAATAACATGACCAGATTTGACTCTTCATTAGAGCGAATGCAAATATAAATATATAAGTGGACATTGAAGTCAACATCTAGAGGCGACTATCTGTTTCATGCATGAACGCAATCTTCAGACCATGAGTGTTGTGTTTTGACTCGACTATTTATATATGCTGGTATATATCTTTTTCTCATATTCTATCAAACTTAGTAGCCCTTTGCGTCCTAGTGGCTTTATTGCCTTACTTGGTGTGAAATGATTAAAACAAATGTCTTTTTTGGTGATATGGATAAACTTGTAGTGGTTTACTAAGCGAAGCTTAGATGTGGCGCAAGGCTAAAAGTATGAACCACCTAGTGAGGATCAAAGTAAACTCCTATTAATATAATATGAATATTTTATCTAATATATAACTGAAATAATAATAATAATAATAATAATAAAAACGAAAGAATATTAATATACAACCCAGTGTGTCTGAAGATTTTAATTTATATATATATATATATATATATATATATATATATATATATATATATATATATATATATATGTCTGTGTGTGTGTGTGTGTATGTATGATGTATGTGTGTATTTTGTTAGATTTTAAGACCATAAAATATTATCAATATTTAATGAAGTCTGTATAATACCCTTTTTCGCTTTTGCAAGATTAAAACAAGACTCTTTTGACGCGGATTACCAAACTTCGGTGAGTGGGTGGGATTTGGAGTGAGAAAGAGTGAAAGACGTATGCCGCTTGGTGGATAATATGTATTCGTAATTACCGCTGAAAAGATCGTAAATACCTTTGTACGCTTTCGCTCCCCCACCCCCACAAACTCGTGGACGCGTACACGGGATCTGCGGCTTACTTGAGAGCGTATATTGACGAAATGCGAACAATGGTTATGGAAGTGAGTTTTATGCGTGTAGTAATGCCTGTTCGCGTTTAAAGAGTTTAATTTTAATTCCGAATTAATTGTGTGTTACTATCTAGCCATTTTGCGCATTTTTTTTATTTTATATTCTTTTAAAAAGAAGGCTTGCGTTATCTAAGGGATAATAAGGTTTATAGTTTGTCTTTTGCGCATGCGCGTATGCGGAACTTCTGCGAGTTTGTCGTCATAGTTGGAGTCAATAGTACAAGGTTAGGATATTACGCATTTTCCGTGTTTGACTTGAATGCGTGATTTTTCGTGTTGCAGTGCGCGTGCGTACGTATGCATGAACGATTATGGAACAAATGGATTAATTAATCTTAATCATGTATTTTGTAGAAGATTAATACTTGTGTATTATTATAACTGAGTGTAAGCAGATTTGGTATAATGGT